GCCCATGCTGGCTCTCGACGTTCCTATATATATATATATATATATATATTTGCATAACTTTAAAGTACGCAGTGTGAACTGATATTTTACTGTGGTAAACTATTCTAGCTTCCATATCTATAATAGCTCCAATTCCAAAAATTAAATTAGTAGTGCCATTTCTCATAAAATTAAAATATGCATAATCTTTACCTAAAGACCACAAGAAAGAGCCATAAATTTCTGACATGTCATAATAAACATAAGAGCCCATATAATGTATTACATATTCCAATAATGTATATTCTTCAAAATACAGTTTAAATAAATGTTATAGCCAGTTCTGTGCTACAGCAACTAATCTCTAGAGCCAGTTCAATTGTTTAATCTTAAAACTGTAATCTTAATTTAAACATTTTTATTGTTTGCTGGGGGATTGTATTTTTGGTTTTTTTATTGCTATTCATGAGATGTTTTTGCACAGTATTTTATTCTATTTTGTGATCATTCTCAAATACATGTAGCAACAGTGCATCAATGTTAGCCTTGACTAGTTTAACAATTCACATACACACTGGGCAAATGACATATATATATATGCTGATTGACACAATATTTTCTAATTCTACATTATAAATTAATATAGCCAACTTATTAAAACTACTAATAAAAGGTAAATACAGTGTTATGTATACAGCTGTGCTACTTGAATTATTCTTTTCTTTATATCTCCACAGTTAAGTATTTATATATTTCAGCTCAGCATATATGGATGACATATGTTTACAGTAATTTACATATCTCTCTGAAAAGAATAAAGCAAAAACAAACACATATTATAATAGTAACCTCGACATTAGCTATTTTCATACTACTAACTATTAAGATATGACATCTTAGTTTGACTTAGAAGAGAAGATTGCCCAATAAGGTAAGTACTAAGTGATTATTAATATACATGTAATGTATTGTGTAATTTATGTGTGATAGTGATAATGAGTGATATGTGTAGATGATTATTGGACTTTCAACCATAAAAACATATTAAGAAAAATCTTTAAACACTTTTTTCTTAAAACTTCCTTCATAAAAAAACAAGTGAAGATAACCCAATTTTGCCTTGCATTTTCTTTTAGGTATGCTATAAATAGCCTTCATTTTAGATCTGAAGTTCTGCACTACAGGCTTTCAAAAACATTCACTGTATTTACAAGAGTTTTTTAACCACTTTTTATTTATATCTATCAACCACCAGTAAGTTTCAATTTCAAGAAAGCACAGATTTCAAGATGGAGTTCAATCAAACTGGATTAATGTCATGAGTAGAGTACCTCAAGACTCAGTGTTAGGACCTCTGCTCTTTTTGATTTACATCATTGACATAGATGAAAGAATGGTCAACAGAATATTTAAATTTGCTGAAGACATTAAAGTTTTGGGCATTAATGGCTGTGAAGAGGATGTTACAGCTTTGCAAAAGAATTTCATTTATTTGGTGTTTTGGGTGAATAAAATGGCAGATGATTATAATAAATGCAAGGTAATGCATGTGGAATATCACAATTTGAATTATGAGTATAATTTTGATGGAAATAATCTCAACAGTGTTATGGAAGAGAAAAACGTTGATGTTCTGGTTCATCAGTCTCTTAAGCCATCCAAGCACTGTGCTTTTCCTAGTGGCAGGGCAAATAGGATTTTAGGTTGTATCTACAGAAATACTGATTAAAAGTCCAAGAAAAAAGGCAAGTTAGATGTGATCTGATTGAGATGTTTAACATTGTAAAGGGAATTGATATTGTAGATGCATCATTTTTTTTCACATTAAATAGTGAGAATGGTAAGTTTAGGGAACACAAATATAAATGTTTGGAGGATAGGAGTCATGTTTAGCTAAGACAGTTTTATTTTCTTAACAGATGGTTGGATTTTGAAATGGGTTGCCTTAAGATATAGTTGATGTAGTCAATTTAAAGGAGTCTGAGGGAAAGCTTGATAGACATTTGAATAATAAAGGTGGGCTTTGAGGTTGTTGTGTTTGTTTTTTTACCTAACAAGAATGTTAAAATCAAAATAATAATAATAGTTTACAAGTACATGTTAGACTATATACATATATGATACATATAACAAAAGTGTAAAAATGAAACCCTTAGATATAGTTGCTTACAAATTGTTATCCAGGATGAATTTAAATACTTCAATAAAGCACCTATCGTCATACAAAAAACCATCGGAAAATTTACAGTTCTTGATTCTACTGATATTATGACGTAAACATCAAACCATTCTGTAGTTGCAACACCAAAATGTCCAGTGTGAACTGAAATTCCAATCCAAACAAGATAAATTAAATGTATACTAGAACCTTACAGTATCTATATGTAACACAAACAAAAAAAAAGTTCAAGCACTCTAATATCACTCATATACTATGGATTCAATCAATTTATCTAACATTTATCAAACTCATATACAAGTTATTTAATCCATTAGCTAATATTATTACAAGTTTCACAATGTTTTAAAATATCTCAAGCATAATAAATGTATATTATAATTATTAAACATATAATTTGCCAACACTATGAAAAGGCATGCCGTACAGTGTCAGATCAAATAAAATAAATGTATGCTAGTATCTTGTACTTTCTACATGTAACATAAACATTTATTATGACAAGGTATACCAAACAGTGTATCCTTGCAAAAATCTTACAAAATTGTCAAATTTCAAGCATTTAAATAGATCATTATGATTGGGTACCTGTGTACATATACTAAAGTCACTTAAGCACAAATTCTTCAGCTCTAACTGTAAGATTACTTGACTTTCAAAGATTAAACCTATTATTACCCCTAATATTCAAGCTTTTATTTCCAAATTTTTCATTACACCATTTAAATACACAACCCATAGGATTATTTTACTGACCTTTAATAATTTTGAACACTACCTGAACTATATTATAACTGCTCTTTCTGTGTTTCAGAGAAAACAAGTACAAAACTCTAAGTCTTTCCTTATAAAGTTATACTAGCTTAAATAATTTAGACCAAGTATCATTTTAGCAGACTCTAACACTGAATAACAGGTCATGTATTAACTTGATTTTTCTACCCCACTCAACATCTATTAAAATTTCAACATAGACTAATTTAAACTTTACCTTTCAAGCTTGCTGCCTAAATCTTTTATCTGTATTATATACATTTCCCTATCAACTTCGCTGAGTTCTTCTTGTTTACTCTTTGCAGAGCCCAACGATTTCTTTGGTCTTTTTCCAGGTGTTCCCTTTTTTTTTGGAGGCATTCCTTGAGTAATGAAATCAAGATTCACTTTTAAGTGCAGTTACTTCTTCCTTAAGACGTTATAATTACAAGTTACAATTACAGTATCTTTAGCGTTACTGGTATTTATACTTTATAAATTAAAATCATAAGAAGACGATACTTTCTATGTTGAAATTCAAATTTAGTCTACAACGAATTATTCAGTAAAATTTTAAATTGTTCAGATTGAGAAATGTTTCTTTCTAATTCGGAATGTAAAAATTGGCTGTTCATCGCGTCATTTGCTGCTATGACAACACTATCATTGGGCCATCTACTGACTTTATTATTTCTATAAATATTAGGTATAAAAATATTTAGACAAAATATTTGTTTGTTGCTAAGTGCAAAACTACACGATGAGCTATCTGTGCTGTGCTTACCACAGGTATCTAAGCTCGTTTTTGTTTTTTTTATCATTATAAGCCTTCATACTTGCCGCCAAGCCACTAGGAGCAATATTTGTTTTTCTAGTATAATAAAACATTAATGTTGTTTTATCGCAAGACTACATACTGGGCTATCTTTGTTCTATCTAACGCAGGTAATGGAACCCAGAATTTTAGCGTTATAAGTCCCTTAACCTATCGCTCACCTACCAGGAGACTCACATGGTACTAGAGACAGTTTACTTTTGGTTAATAATATATATATTTTTATTTAGACACCAATTATATATTTAGCCGAGTGTAACAATTGTTTTTTACTCTTTTATAACTTTATATGTAAATATGTAATAATAAATGAAATCCATAGCTCTTGTTGTTCATTATTATTATTATTTACCTTAACAAGATGAAGACTCAGGATAATGAGTATCACAAAATAGCTGCACTCAGTGGCAGTTTCTCCTGTAGCTGATTTACATTTCACTTTCTGCAATGATCTAGGGTATATACCAATGAATTGTAGCGACGAATGAATCAATAAATACACTTCAGTAGTGATAAGTTTAAAATAGATTGAAAGTGGATACCTCTTATCTGTTGCTCTGAGAAGCCCAGTATAGGTCATTATGATTCCGCTTAGGTTCAGGTATATGGATAAAGATATTCTTGTTTGAAAAAGGGGAGGAATAGTGCTGTTGTAATTCCCTAAATCTTACTGATTTTGAAACGTGTTTAATACAGTGTTTAACTGTTTGGGAGAAGTTGGGTAGCATTAGGAAAATTAGGCTTAGGGTATATACAGATGGTTTCCACTGGATTGAAACCCCATAAGATTCTCTAACTAGTGTTGTAAAAACTTGAGTAAGAGGCTGTGTTGATTCTGGAATGTTCTAGATGCGTTTTTTTTAATTAGTCTGCGTTCTTTATCTAAACAATTCGAAACCTGATTTAAATGGAACGTTAACTTATTACTGTGAACTGCCGATTCCTTCCGTGGTCTTTTCAGTAAAAGACTTGTATGAAATAACTACTGACGTTATACATTGATTAATAAACAAAGATAAATAAACCATTAAAATTTGTATCGCCACAGTAAAGTCGTGATTATTTGGTACCATTTCCATTTAAAGGGCTCATGTTGTGCGAGCTAATTGTAGTTTCTATATAGTTATCCGCCGATCCCTTATAAACATGCACAACATTTTTCACGTTAACCTGGCTTTTTACATTAAACTCATTAACACAATGACTTTTAGAATTCTTGGACTTCTAACATGACTAAAAACCTTGCTACCTTCAGTCATCAATCTTAACAGTAAAGAATCTAAAACAAATTGTGGATTTTAAATGATAGAAAACTGTTATTTGTCCTTCTAAGGATTCTCATTCTAACACAGCGCCCGTCCAGTTTAAATCCTGTACCACCCTCCCCCCGGTTTCAGGTTCCAAAGTAATATAAAAAATTTATGACAAATGCAAATCAAAAACTAAAATATAATGCAATGAAAGGTAAATATTAAGTCGTCAAGAAATTAATGTTGCTTTTTTTTTAGATATATCAAAACAAAACAGTTATTCAATGAAATAGTCTCCATTCTTATCGATGCCGATTTTCCATCTTACAACCAGGTTGTTAATGCCCTGATTAAAGAAATCACTTGGATTAGAAGCAAAAAACATGCCGATGTCCTCTTTAATACCTTCCACATTTGAATGCGTTTTCCCATTAAGATGGTGTTGCAGCGAGCGAAAAATATGGTAATCTGATGGTGCCATATCTGTAGAATATAGTGGGCGGGGAGAACTTCCCAACCGAACTACATAATCTTGTGTTGTGTCAAACGTGTCACATGTGGACGTGCATTGTTGTGAAGAAAAACACCTTTCCGATTGACGAGTGAAGGACGTTTCTGATGAAGGGCTTGATTTAAACGTTCCAGTTGCTGACTGCAGATCTCTGCAATGACAGTTCGCTGTGGATTGAGGAATTCGAAGTTAATTACTCGTTTGATGTCCCACCAAATGCAAACCATCACTTTCTGCGGATGGAGTCCAGGTTTGGGGGTAGAAAGTGGTTTTGTCTAGGACTAAGCCATTGTTTTTGGCGTTTAGTATTCGCATAGAGAATCCATTTTTCATCATCAGTGACAAATCTGTCCAAAAATGGTTCACGCGCATTACGCACCAGAAGAGACGAAGTAACGTTCACAGGTTGGGAACTATGATCATCGGAGAGTTCGTGGGGCACCCAAACACCTTCTTTATGGAGTTTTCTCATATTCCTTAGATGTCCACGCATTGTTTCATGAGAGACATGCAATTTCAGGGCCATTTCACGAGTGTGTTGCCTTGGGTTAGACTCAACAAGTGTCTTCG